ACCTCTTTAATGATTATAATTTATAAGTATATTCGGTATTGTGCTGTATGATCACACAATATATATTTTATTCTATGGTATGATCACATAATAATATCATGTTTACTGCTTATATGATAAACATGACAAAAATATTATACAGGACTGTACTACAAAATTATTATTACAGTACATAAATAATGAGAGGAGTACGGGAGTATTTTATATACGATATTATAGTCAATGATGGTATTCACCAAGACACAACGCTGTACACACCATGCAACAATCAACATTTGTGCACCAGTTCCCACACACCCACCAACCATGTTTTTTCGACAGTTAAATATATCTGTACCTATATCTAGTCATGATCTAAATATAAGTTATTATGCTAATATACTGTAGTATTGAAATTATTAATAATAAAAAAATAAAAAATAAATTTCTTTTAAAAACACACTTTCCTATAAAACCATATTTAAAAAAATATAAATATATATATATTAAATTGAACTAAAAAATATTTTAAAAATTGCACTAAATAGACAAAAATAATTTTCGGTACTTAAAAATAATGAAAAATTTACTGATGAAAAATTTAAAAGTGTGTGGTGCATCATACAAAACAATTAAAGCCGAGCCAAGTCTCACATACACTTCTTTGTTCAAACCTGTTTATAAGATAGTGACTGGGAGTATAATATGTCAATTAGTGTAAGAGCACCACACACTTTTAAATTTTTCATTATTTTTAAGTACCGAAAATTATTTTTTGTCTTTTTAGTGCAATTTTTAAAATATTTTTTAGTTTAATTTAAAAATATATATATTTATATTTTTTTAAATATGGTTTTATAGGAAAGTGTGTTAAAAAAAAAATTTATTTTATTTTTTATTTTCTACTTTTTAGTTGAAAGTACATTTTTTTATTAAACGTTTAAAAAATATTTATGAAACAAATTTCTTATATTTAATAAAACGAATCAAACTACTCATGATTGATGATTATGATTGACGATGTTGTCTCATTCTTTCGATTTCATCCAAAGCGTCTACGTTACAGGATGTCTTTCCCATTATTTTTGAAGCGTCCAATTCTTCGATACGAAGTCCATYGAGGCTACGAACTCTSCTAATGATGAYGTACGCTTGACCTTGTACGAATAGTTTCTGTCCCAAGTATACGACAGCATAATCGACTAAGGCGCCCTGCATTTTATGGGCTGTTGAAGCACATGATAATATTAAAGGCGGAATACGGCGCTCGACAGTTCCGTAACTGAATTTTGCCGGAAATTGTATTGATTTTGGCTTGATCAGGTGGATCCCATCCACGCCAAAATCCACCATTACATCTGGTAAGTCCTGCTTGTAGATCTGACCTTTGCGGAAGCCACCAGCCCATTTCAGTTCTGTTACAATACCTATTGCTCCATTGACCAAGCCTTTTTGTACATCGATGTTAGATCGCAGCATCACTTTTGCTCCCACAAATATTACCAGCTCTCTCGGCAATCCTCCGGTCTTGTTGATGTCATACGATATGACGGCGTCGATTGAATTTTATAGCGGCCTAGTGGCATCGACCAAAGAATCTTGAGCTCGAATGGTAAACATTTTGACATTTTTTTCTCGAAAGTATTGTAGTACTTTATTATTGTGGGCCTCCACTTGCTTGTTGGTTGGGTAAATGCGCATAGCCTTTGTTCACTCYGCAAACAATTATTCAAAAACCTGATTTTTCGCGACAGTGCGTTCAGCGCGGGTGACCAGTCGAGGAGTGCGCGCGTTGTTCCACCACCAGCTGGTCGCTTGTGATAGTGGTGCGCCGTTATCTAACTGATAGTGGGCAATGTGCGTATTCCAACAGTCAAATTTTTTATATTATTTTTATGCACTTAAAGTGCAGCACTTTCAATGTTTTTTTTCTGCGTCCATAAAGTTGTGTAATGCTTTCAGTGCCACCGAATTCTGTATTTTGATGGATTAAATGTTTAAGGTGGTACTGATCGCATTTTCGTAAATTATGTGTTTTTTCATTGGCTACTCAAAATTCGTTCGTTTTCGTAAAGGCTTCATATTCATTAAATTACGTTCGTACTTTTTTCCTTGTTTTTTTTTTTATGCCTCTCGAGCTGTTCGATCATTCAACGAGCCTCCGATTCAGTATTCAATTTGTTTTTGTTAATCTTAAATACATTCGTTCTCATCAAAAAAAGCATACATTCATTCAATACATATTCAATCATTTAATTTTAGTCATCTGTGAATTGTTTTCTGTAAGTATCGTTCARTCATTTATTGCGTTCAACCCATTGATATTATTCCTCAATTTAGGGCGCACCACGAGATACAGAAGCACGTGAATTTTTTTCGTCATTGTGAATTATATATTGTGTTCAGTGATTTATTCGTCTGAGCTGGTGGCCCGTTAGTCGTACGTTCTCAGGACTATCACACACTTAATTATTATTATATTGTATTTTTATTGTGCAAATATGTACATCCTGAGACGGTAGCGTTTGGTTCAAAGCCGCTAACGGACACCAGTTCTCCAGGTAACCAGCTGACGAGCTGCCAGGTTATTATTCAGTATTATTATTATAATTTTACTTTGCTAATCAAGCATTATTATTATTATTTTACTGTGCTAATCAAGCATTATTATTATTATTTTACTGTGCTAATCAAGCACTTCAATATTATATTGTTTACCTTTGATAATCCAGCATATTGTATTTTATCCACTTATTGGGTGCCAAATAGATATCTCACACTTAATGTATTATTATTAATATATTATTATGTATTGTAACATTTGCATAATCATTTTTATACTAAACCAAAGTACCTACCATCATTTAGAATTATAATAAAAACAATTATTTAACATATTAATATTCGAGTTACCTATTTTATTTCCTTCATTATTCATTTAAGGTCGTTACTATAATACTTGTGTTTAATCAACGCCTTGTCGTGAAGGCACCCTTAACGCCAATTATTATATTTGATTTTTGTTAAGAGCTGAACGCGACAGCCTTCTCTACAGAGAATTCCCCGTCCGTCTCTGTACTAACCCGACTCATCAACACGGACATGTGACTTGTCGTTAGCTCCCCAATTCGCAGCGCATTGAGAACGTCAATGAAAGTTGTATCACCTTGCTGCCTCATATTTTGCGTCAGCTCAATCAAAGTGAATAATTCCCACAAATGTGTAGCCAGTATCATGTGTCTTGGCTGACGGAAAACTGGTTGTCCCTTCACTGGCGGTATCTGCATCAGATCGCCAAACAGYAATACATTAATTCCTCCRAACATTTCCTCGGGACTCTTCAATTGTCGCAGTCGAGACTCGATCATGCACATCATTTCGTATGGCACCATAGAAATTTCGTCAATGAAGATAAACTCGACATCTTTCCATTCTAACCGCATGTGTTGAAGATATTGACCAGACAATAGTGGCATTTGTACGATTTGTTYAGCTTCTCGTTCTGCCAGGCTTTCATTGGCACGTTGCAGTGAATGTCACTTTTAATCGAGTTGTAATCGTTGTTGGCGCTGCTCTGTTGTTTCGGCACTTCTTCATTGCCTCATATATTGGCTGTAAGCATCGAGTCTGATTCGTTTAATAATACGATCTTCATTATCCCTGTTATCACGGTATTTATCACGAGCTTTCTCCAGGCGTCGTTTGCGTTGAGTGGCCGTCTCACTTAGTTTTGCAGATAATTCTCCAGTGTACTGTAAACCTAAAGTTGATGTCAGCGAACTCGACGAACAGCGCCGGCGGTAATACGAGCGCGCGTGATGAAAAATTTAAAAGTAAAGTTAAAAATTTAAACATAATATTGATAATATATTTTTATATTTTTGGTAGATGGTAGTTGTTATGGTTATATTATTATATTATTATACCTTTACTTCCTCGGAGATGACTTTGCACACCCGTCATCGCCTACCTGGAGGTCCGTGTCCCAAAATGATAACGGATTATTGTATTGTCATCCAAGACCAAGGTCTATACCAATTTTCAGAATTTTTCATCGTCAAAAAGTGCCTCAAATCGAGCGCGMAAGATTTGATTACAGACAAACAGACGTGAAAGCGACTTTAAGAAAAGTGTGTGAAAACGGAAATAGGCAACATTTTATTTATAAAAATCCATTGCAATTATTTTATTTTAATGTCTATGATATTATAATAATATTATAGTGTTATCCGCATTTGCTAGAAGTAATCGATTCCATAAGCAGTATGAGTACCTATATGTTGGATTGTGAATCGTTTTATTAAATTGTTAATGTAGGTACATTTGGTTATATATATTAGTAGTATATATATTTAAGAAAATAATACTAGAAATTATAATGTAGATTATACATTTATATTGGTATATTTGATATGATTGGCGTGTAAGCCGTAAGAAAAAGTGACAACTATTAAGTTAATTTTATCTAATGACTAAAATACTTAGGTTGTAACTGTTGTAGGTTCTTACAGTAAGTGAACAAAAAACAATTTGTATAATTCAACACTCGAACTCTGTGAATGATATTAATGTATATAGTTACTAATTTACTTATATATTAAACTTAACCTTCCTACCTATCTTCATACTTAACTTACGTAACTTTTTAGAATATCGCTTATGAACAATTTAATTGTAACATAATATTATAAAACATTTATGTTATGAGAATATAAATAAAATAACAAAAAAAATTCTTATATTATAAAGATGAGTCGATATTTTTGTTACTTAGTTATATATATTTTTTTTATTAATCTTACAATATTAATAAATATCTTGTGAATATAAAATTAAAAATATTAATGAAAAAAAATTAATTTGTGTTTAATAATGAATCACTAGACACTAATACCTAACTATCGGTCATTAATTTTTGTAATAAGATAACATCCTAACATCCATGATGCAGCCTACTTGCGTCCTAGAAAAGTAATAATATTCGCGCGTTTTTATTTATTTGACACTATGTTTTATTACAGACAAAATTCCCGATGATGAGCATTTTAAAAACGGTTCCAAAGATAGAGACAATTGGGAAGCAGATGATATCGAAAATGCAAACAAAAATGACGCTGGGATGTTTGCGTACACAAACGGCCATGTGAAATTTGACACACCGAAAGTTCCAGTTATTTTCGTACTCGGTAAGTACCTACCTATAAAGTTGCAACACCATCTTCGCAAACACCTATTTGACCGAAAGTTTTCGTATACAGGTGGACCTGGAAGTGGCAAGGTCACGCACTGTGACAACTTGATGATAGAAAAGCGCGGTATTGTCCACATTAACATGACCGACTTACTACAACAGTACACTGTTGGAAACGGTAAGTTTGTTTTGTTATATCATCAACGGTAAATTAAACATTTTAGTAGAAGGTCTACTTTTAGATTTACCGAGCGTCTGCGGTAGCTGGTTATTGATTTATGATCACGTTTGGTAATCGATAGCTTACTGTTTGAATACTCATAAAATGTACTTAACAAAAAAATTTTATATCATGCAAAACTAATATTTTTTTTAAATTTGAATTTATATTGTTAAAAATCATACAAAATTTTTATGTCTTATACTAAGCCAAATAAAATTATAATGTACACTGTACAGCCTAAATTATATTAGTATAAATATTATGYAATATTAATTCTTAATTGAGAGATATTTTGAGTTATTTCACTGAAAAAAAAAAACTAATATCTACGTATTGGTTTTTCATCAAACATCCATGGACAATGTTTAATTTTTTGAATTTGTATTTATATTAAACTCTTGAGATTTAAAATTACAATATAAAGTTATTTATAGTAAAATCATATAAAATAACATATCTAACTAAATAACTATCTAAAATAAAATGGAAACCATGTATGAATCTAAGCAGGAATTTTTAATTCAGTGGTTCATAATTATTGTACCTTTATAATTTKTATTAGTGATGAAAAACAAGATATCTTGCTTCTGTTCGTGTTTATATATAGTTATTATAATTTATAAAGTAAATGCGAAGCAATGCAACAGTTGATTATCATCGGTATCTATCATACCTACCTTGTTTTGTTTCTGTGCTGGAAATTAAAATGTTCTAACCCTTAATCAAAATCCAATTAATTATATAAATGGTAATAAAGAATATAATGTACTATTTAATAACATAAGTACTAAAATAGTGGTTAAATTTATTGGAGAGAAAGATCTCTCTATGACATTTTTTTAATACTTAATATCTTATACCAGTAAGTTATATTTGCAGTGATAATTTGAGTCATACAATAATGGAAACTTCATGTTACTTACGTCCTACAAAAATTCTTATAAGAATTGTTATCACTACTGTAGTCTGTAGGTAAATTGTGTCCTACATGTTTGAAAACCACTTAGGTAGTCATTAGCTAGGTAGGTATCATCGTATTTATTGATAGGTTATTTGTGTTTCGACGATATTTTCTAACGAAATAAATGTATATTGATGGAATTTAAAAAGAATAGGGGTGATAAAAAATATGTGGTWAAATTTATTTAAACTCAAATTCGCAAATCTAACAATAAAGAAATTAATGATATTCATATCTAATACGWTTGTCACACTAAATTGACTTATAACAATGTTCAATTTTTTAATTAATTAATAAAATTATAACATATTTTGAACACATATAAATTTATTTTCTTCTGTTGTATCTATCTAGCTCTATAATTATGAAATTTTGGAAATTTAACAACCAATAATATTTAAAATTCTATTGATCATTGAATATAACGATATACTAGATAATGTTGTTGTATAACATATTCATTCTATGTATCAAGCTGTAATCCTGTATAATTATATTGATACGATAATATTTTGACACGAAATGGACGAAAATTATCCATCAATAAATACGAAAGGTAAGTTACATCTGAACTACGTATTAGGGCGCAAAAACGTTAGTATGATTGAGGCTCTAATTGTATGTTTTTTTTTATAATTGTTGAAGGTGACTCATATGTATATTTATTAATATAATACGCTTACAATTTGTATTACGCATTTGTAAATGTTTTAGTGACGTTTTATCAGACATCATAGTTGCGAGCATGGCGTAAATTTTTCCGTTCAAATTAAAATAATAATAATTTTTTATAGAATTTTATGAATTATCAAATATTTTTTCTTGTATCAGAAATTATTAATCATTTTTTTCCCTTTCTAATAAACTGTATTAATTATTACGTACAAAACATTATATTTTAACAATGTCGTGATTGTACGATAATTAATAAAAGAAAGCATTATTGTAAGGAGAATTCCTAAAAAAATTATCTATTGTGAATTAAAAAAAAGTAAAATTATAACCTCTCAAGCACATTTTCAAAAATTAAAGTTTGGATTTCGGATAAACAGAACAAGACTGAAAAGGATAGGTATTCTGCATACGACACAAATCACTGCTTAAAACTACATTTTAAATGTTATTATAATTTTTATAGTGAGCTTGATTATTTTCTAGAAAATGTTATGCTTTAGAATGTGTAATAATAATAAAAAAGGTGACCATAAAAAAAATGTATAAATGGCTTACTATAAAAAAAAATGCTTTTATATAAAAAAAGTGAAAAGTTAATGACCTACGTTTTCAAAGCCATTGCTCCCAGAAAAAAAACATTTTTTTACTAACAGAGCAATGTATTGTGATTTGAAATTGAACTCTATGAGGACGTAATAAAAAAATAGAAAAATCATGGAATAAAAATGATAAGATTGATGAAAGAAGTGAGTTATAATTTTTTAGTCAAAATCGGTCAAATACACAAATATAATATTCATAATATATTACTCATTAAAAAATTATACATTTTAAATGTTTATTATGTATGATGTTAATACAATCAACAACATTGAAATATATAAATAAATCAATGATTAAACTACCTATATTACTATTTATTGTGTCCATTGACTTTAAGCCAACCTTGACATGTCAGAGCAAGCAGACTTAACAAAGCTATCGGCTCTGTCAAACTATACCGAAGGGTGGAAATATTCAACTCTTCTGTTGTGTGTACTGTATATTATATATATACATATAAGTTCTTTAAATTTTTTTGGTACTCCTGAATTCACTCACCTTTTCTTAAATGTCAGTGTTGTTCTGTGGTATATTCGAAGAGTATGTTTGGAGGTTATTAAGCCATCCATTTTAGCCATGTTATCAATTATTATTGAACTTTAAGAATATTAATTTTATCTTATAAATTATAATTATAAATATTTATTATCTATTGATCATAATAATTGAAATAATTATGCATTGTACAGATATTTTTCTTACTTAAAAATCAAAATTATAACTCATATGCGTGTAGACGTGTAGTGTATAGGGTTTTAAGATTTCATGAAATTTGAATATGACGTATTATAATGTATCTATTAGTTGTTTAACAAATCTATAACAATAGGTATAATAAATTTAAACATCATCTTTTCTTAAGTTATGAATTAGCCAACTTAACATCATTTTATTTATATGTTTGAACTCTTTTATTTTCCTCTAATAATATTAAATTATGGGATCATTAATAATATAGTTGATATTTGTGTATCCTTAAAACTTTTGAAATCTAAAATAAATCTAATTGAGTTTAATTTTTTTTTTTTAATATCCTAGCCGCCAAGTTTTTTCATATTCATTMTATATTCATAATTATTATTTTAATAACACGAACAATAACGTGGTAGTCTGTAAAAATTACTTTTGAAAATTACTTTTGTTAATTTCGTTGATTTCGACAAAATCTAATGAAATTATCATAGTGTTACTTCTTGTAAGTACCTATACCATTATATTTTTTGCATAAACTATTAAGTGATATTAATTACTGGAATAATAATTATAAAACTAATGTAAATTGTCTGCGCGATATAATATAAATACTAATATAATACTCTGAATTTAAATTATTGGTATAGAAAGAAATCAATCTTACATATTTTCATAGATACAAAAGGAAAGTTAAAGTTTTTCTTAAAAATAGTTTTCTATTGTCTAACATAAATTATTGTCACATTTAGTAAAYTATAAAATKTACAGTCTCAAAAACTTTTATCACATAGATAGGATCATAGGTACTTAGGTACCGATATTCGAGAACACTATTTTTGATTTTCTTAATAGTTCAGCATTATATTATATCATATGAATTATAACTATCTATATTTTATAACAATCGTTAACAAATATTAAATATATACCAAACACATCAGAAACCGTATTAATATGAACTCGAGATCCACCAATACCTAATTATTTATTAACAGCGATAATTCGAAATGTTTGATGATAATAAATAAAATAACATGCAGAGATCTAATAAGATTATTATTATTATTTTGTTATAAAATAATGTTTTTTTTATTTTAATTAGGTATAAAATATTGATCGTTAATACCTTGATAGGATTCTAAATATTTTTCTTCAGATAAAACATTCTTTGAATTATGTTAAAGATTATGATTCATTTTTCTTATGATCCTTTTCACAACTTTGAACGTAAAAATGGCCAAAATGTAAAAATAATCTTAGACCGTCGCATTTTTACATTCTGGACRTTGAAAAATGAAAAAGGAATGTTCAAAATAATGAATTTATTATATTGATTTTGGCAAACGTTTTAAKTTTACGAAGGCCAATCACCTACCTACCAATCAGGCCGTTACAATATTATAATGCTCCTATCGTTTGTCCCTGACCTGTTTCAATCGAATTGGGAACAGTTGACTATTTTGGTTGTAAAAGCGAAATTTGACGTGTTTACCAAAGGTCTGAAAAAGTCTCATACTCATTTTAACAGTAAAAACTTAAGAACCACACTAACATAATATTCTGGCCCGAAGTCCGTTCTTTGCTATATATTGAGTTTTAATCGAGGTCGATGGTAATGTATGAATGAAAAATATTTGATCGTAGCTCATATCTGTTTCTACGAATCACTGAGTAAATAGGTACTCAAACAGACTATAATTTTAAACTATAATTCTTTCATACATATTATCAGAAATGATAAGGGTGGATCAGTCCTGGTGATKAATTGTTTTAACGACTCGATTATCTTTTAAATTGTACAAAAAAATACGAAAAAATAGAGTGTATGTATAAAAATATAGTGTTTAAACGACAAACAGTCATATTAATTTATAACACTTTCCTGTGAAAACTGTGAAAATCAAATATGTATCATGCTTCAAATTAATACATCAAATATTCCAAAACAATACTGCCAACCGGTAAAGATTATGATAAGGATAATAAAATATAGGTAGTCAAAAATCCAAAATAGTGTTTGTAATTTTTAAAACAAATTGATTATCTATTAGTAATAATGGACACTATCGATAGTTAATATCGACTTTCATAATTATTGGCATGTGGTATTTTAAATTATTATTTTTATAATTGAGTGACTTTTTCTTTAATTAATGTCAATAATAACAGACTACTGGCTAATAAATGTATATCTCGTATTATACTCTATACTATTAAAACTTATTCGATTATTTTTTTTAATCTTTCGATTGTACCTATCTATCTTATTATAATCGACTTTAAATTTGGTGCAAATTGCATTTTCTATTTCTTACTATCTATGATGGTGCAAATTATAAACGCAGTTTAAAAATTTTGGTGCAAATTACAAATGTAAATATTTAGGATCAATTTTGATACAAATTGACTATGCCTCAAAAATTATCAGTGACAACGTGAAAACCATATTATTTAACTTTTTGCTACACGCTGGCTTACCTATTCTTTATATTATTGAGAACTTGGCTGCATTAAAAAATGGGACARAGGAACTTACATTTACATGATTAGATTTATCAAATGTGAAATTGTACATAGATAAATAAAAGTTTCTGCTTAAAATATCCTTTGACGAATCGTTAAAATGAAAAAGAGATACGCTGATTTAATTCTGTAGAAAATTAAATGAAAAGTGTTGATGAAATATTATTTGTATTATATTATTAAACGATAATTTTTTATTTAAATAATAGTTATTTAATAWAATATGTATAATGTGTTATAAAACAAACATTTTTTTAAATACAAGATGCACCGGCACGTATGATAAAAGTGTAGGTGTTATGGAAGATTTGGGTTATTCCTAAAAAAGATAATCACTCCCCCTCTCTAAATATGACGTCCCAGATACGGGCCTGTTTGAATTCAGGATAAAAATAAGTTCGATAAGTACAATTTAAAGTTTAAATCAGGTAAAATAATATTAGGAAATAATTATTAWMTCGTTTATATTAATAGTGCATAATAATTAATTATAATTGTTTAAAAAAAATATTACWTATCAAACTATTAAAGTGTCTGAATATTTATCGTAGGAGTTATACATATATATTTTGTAATGTATGGATAATAATTTCACGCAACCGTTATTCAGATATGGAAGACTTCAGCAAACTGTCCAGTAAAACAGTCACTGAAGTATTAATGTTGGAGTTGAAAATGTCTCCAGCGGCCAAAACGTTTTTGGTATCAGGATTCCCGAGAAGTATGCGCGATGTGGTTGAATACACAAATAAGGTACCTAATAAAATAATTATTTAGTTTTAAAATTGTATTAACTAAACCATATAATACTATTAAATTAATTTTGAATTTTACATTTWATTTTAATCTCAACCTACCCATAACATTGAATTTAAACATAACATAGTTTAATCTATGGTTATGTCTGTAAAATATTATTTACGCATATTATTATACGACATAATTGTGGTTGGTTTGTTTAGATAAAAGTTGTAAACGGAGTTATTTTAATATCGTGGAATCAAAACGTGCTTGAACGCCAAATCGATTACGGCGCAAAGTTAGGACATGTCGTTTTGAGTCTGGCCAGGATGGAGCTGAACAACTTCTATAAAAACGTTACTCCGGTGTCGGACTTTTACGACCAGAGGGGAATGCTCATTTCGGTGAGTGTTAAATCGAAACGAAAATCGTCATAAATAACTACCATCGTAAGCTATGTTATGCAATAATTTCCAAAACGTGTTTTTCTGGAAACAATTAAATAGTTTTTAACACTTCATTAGTYTTTAGAGTAAAAATAATATATTTTTAATGTTTAAAAATAAATAATAATATTATTATATATCTTACAAGCACTATTGAACACACAAAAAAGATTATAAATTTGTATGGATTTTAATGGGCTTACTCCATATTGGCTTAGTTATATTTAAATTTAAAAAAAAAACATTAAGTAGATAGATGCATTTTTATTTGGAATTTATACCAAATATCTTCTGATATCATTGGCATTTTGWGTTCGTCATATTAATGACTAATGAGATACGCTTTTATTATGTGTTTTAAAATTTTAGATATTTTAATTAATGTAATCACATGCACATTTTTAGTATTAGATGTGATAACATCACTTTTAAATATCTTAAATTCTAAAACTTAACCTAATGAATACATTAAATGAATTTTTTTAGATAATGATAATATTATTAAAATATTATTAGCAATTTCATTTTGGGACCAATATAAAATTTGCACCAAATATTTGAATTTTATTTGAAAATAGTTTAATGAACTGCTCTGTAAATACAATTATTAGGTTGAAACYACAGTAACTTACTGTTTCTTGTTCTAAAATTTGAACATAATCACTGCTTAATTTCTTTTTAATGAATTTATGTTTCTATAACCACCTTCTATGTTATTTTGTTATTGATCTATATGAATTTCTAGTGAGAAAATTTTAATTTTTTTACGGAATCGATAAACAATTTACTTATTTATCGATTGCCACCAAATTGGTASTAGATGTCTACAAAAATTGAATTYTAATGGAAGAATTAAAATAAAATGACTATTCGGATCTGAAGTGTGGGTGTGCGTGTACGTTTTAAGTTGCTGTACACGTGTTGTTATGTTCGAAGGTGAACGGCGAGCGGAGTCCGACTGAAGTTTATAACGACTTCCGGTCCTCGGTACTTCAAATATTGAGCGCTCACAAAAGTCCGACGACGGTAGCAGTGACCAACGGTACCGTGCCAGTGGACAGATCGGGTACCGGACAACCGGAAGTCGTCGCCGAGCGCCCGACCAGCAACCACACCGTTGATATCGTGCCAGAACCACGGGCCACAGACCTTGTTTTGAAACCAGAAACGTTTCCGCGAACCATTTGTGTTGTGGGTGAGTGCTATAGTGTCAATAATACAAACGGGTAAACTGTCACTTTCTACGGTTCTTTGTTTGAACTGCATAACGCGTATACTTTGTACGGTAAGGTAAAACTTTAGATTGCAGAACGCGAACAGTTTGTATTCTTATATACACAAAGTATATATTAATGTATAGTTGTACCCTAGTGTCCCTAGTAGCATAGTATACTGGTTCTATACGATTTGTAGAAATATTTCCTATACACGTAGTAATAGAACATTTCCAACGTATATCGCTTAAATTTTATCTTAATATTGTGTAGCCAAAACCATCTTTAAAAAGTGTTGGTCTTTTTAATAAAATTATATATACTATAAACATATGTATRTATTTTAATACTTTATATATATAATATAGTACAAAGTGTCCGCTACCTAGTAATGTACCTTTTTACTTGACCGTACAAAATGTCCGTGWTTCGCACTTTTAATGCTCGACCGTACAAAGTRACCTAGAACCATATAAACGTTGTAGGTATCACACGAAATGATGAKCAGATTGAATTTTAGACACTTTGTGTTAGTTTGACATTTTTTCTAGATCAGTCAAACTAATACCTTAAATGTACCTTTACACTCTATATTAGATAAATCACCCAATACCGTTCCATGGATATTTCATTCAACCCACAAACATGAAATGTATTTTATAATTTTTTTTTTTTTTTGATGGTGAATTAAATGAGTGAATTTAGTTCTGATACTTTATGATGATCTATGATTGGGCAATATAGTTGATACCAGTTTTTATAATAAATTCGCTAAGCAGATGTATATTTCAAATACATTTTTAGCAAAATGTAATAAAAATAATTTTCTTGTTCTATTTCTATATGATAATTATGTTAATAAGCTTGAACATTATTTTTGAATGCATTTTTTGTGTGTTTTTGAGACAAAATATATTTCAACCTACTGCAGTTTAATACTTATGTATATTTGTCTAACTTGTTTATTGGTCGTTTGATTCTGACTGGATAGTTTTGTTGGCTTTTTGTTTGTTGGTCAAAAATAATTAATTCGTGAATTGGTGCATGCAGGTGGCCCTGGCAGCAACAAGAGTTCATTGTGCCAAAAAGTACTCCGGGCCAACGCTGGTTGGGGGCATGTTAGCGTAGGACCTTTAATGAGATCACTGGCRTCGTCCTTAGATTCGCTTCAAGAGACGATCAGTTGTGGTCACATCGTTGAAGAGGTGATGATAAGAATATTATTACTGGAATTAGTTTATATCACTAATTGTATTTTTGTTTTTATATCATTCCAGTCGATAGTTCACGAAATATTAGATAAGGAGTTACTCAAGTATAAAAATGCAGATGGTATTGTAATCGATGGTTACCCAAGAAATATTGGACAGCTCAACTATTTTGAAAAAAAGGTACCTATCATACTAAAAAAACGTAATTCGTTGGGTTACAAACTACATAAAAAAAGTAATTTGTTATGTAACTTATTTAAAATTAACTTAACTTTTTAATTATGGTCAGTGCTTAACCTTGATTATAATATGGATTATTTCATATTATGTGTCTTCTATTATATTAGATATTATATTCTATCATTAATTACTTTTGTGTTATAATAAAAACAATATAATGTGAAATATGTGTTTAATAACGTCTAAAACATTATTTTCAGTATGCTCAACGGCCRAAGTTGATATTATTGGATTGCTCAAAGTTGCAGTTAGGTCGCGGAAGGTTAGACGACAGCGTGTCGGCGTTTCGCCGGCGTCTGCAGAGTTTCCGCGAGCAAACTCTACCAATGCTCAAGGCACTGGACAAAGATAACCGTTTAGCCGTTGTGAGTAAATGGCAGAACGTTAAAATGTAAAATTAACCTTTTAATTAACTACGAAACAGGTAGAATTTTTCGTGTATCTACTCTTGTTACAAAATAGTAAGAGAGGTATAAAAATTCGTATCATAGTAATCATGATGGTTTATTGATTTTTAATTTGAATAATGTTAAGTTTTATACATATAGGTAATGTAAAATAATTAATATGAATATAAACAAAAAAGGTTAGGTTAGAGTGGGTTTGGCGATGATTATTAAAAAAAATAAGYGCGGGGCGATATCGGTCTTGGCGGATCTAGGCCGAATGACTGCTCACCCTTTAGCCTTCCTTTAGAGAAGGTGGCCGAATGGAGTGATCAACACTAACCAGTGGCTCGTCGTGATCTCTTATATGTTAGTTGCCGGTGTTGTCGATGAGATAGAAGACAGGGTTACATCTGGCGTTTCTGGCCGTACACACAGCTGTTTGGAATTCTCAATGCCTATCCACGCACTCTATTAGAAGTATCAGGTCTACCGCGTCGGTCTGACGGTACTGGTACCGCCGGACGGCGAGCCGTAAGCGGTTTATAGTATAATAGGAACACGAAGCATTTTGTTTTTTTACAACTAGCTGAACCCGTGCACTTCGTAACCCGTTGAAAAGCCTACACTTAAATGTCTCCAATTGTGTGTTAAAWTCGTTACCATTGGKCAAGCTAGCAGTATTTTTTTTATATATATAGATAGATAATGGTTAAGAGGACGCTACACCTGCATGTGTTGTCACCGTCTTACACGCGTACTACATGGCAAATTTTTGTTCGCTAGATTCAATAGTGTGCTGTTAGTTTTGATATTAGAGTGAATT